GAGAGAGAGAGGACCATCATGCAAGCAGGACAAAGGTTGGATGACGGGAAACTGGCAATAACACGCAGACGAAAAATATTAACCGGACCGGTCGGAGGAGGGGTTTGGGTGAAACTGACCCACAAGTGAGAGGTGTGGCGGGGAGAGACTGCCCCGGGCCAGCCTGAAGAAGTATGAAATTGAAAACAATGGCGCCATTATTGGCCACTGCTGTGCTGTGTCGCCCCGCATGGATGTACAGTATCACTTTGTTCTCGTCGCTGTGCTTAGGGACGAGGAGTGGGCGAGAGGTGAGCTCACCGCTGAGCTGCACGAACGCAGGAGTCACGATGTCCCCGGCGAAGTACGTCTGGATCCCGAGCTTCGTTGTAAAGCTCTCGGTGGTGTGGGTCAGAGCGGACGGGAAGTACACGAGACGGACCTGCACAAGAAAACAAGAAGGCGATTGACACAGCAACTTTAGTGAGAAATCTCACGCAACCGCCACGACAAGGCCAAGGACAAGTTGCACTTCGGTATGAACATGCACACAATTCACCACTGAAGATTCATGGTCTCAGAGATCAAGATGATCCTCGAACTTCCATGCATGTATCAAAGTGACCTACTGTACGCGCGGAACACGGAGAAACACCTCGTGTGCCCGCAAAAACCAAACAGGTGGCAGCCAAAATAGGTCACATTATTTTCCCCTTGACGTTGCTATTGGTGGCTTTCCCATTTCAACTGACGACCGGATACTTCACTACTTGCACGAAGCCAGTCCACGATATTTCAAGTACAACATAACTGCTGCAGCCGAAAGCACTGTTATTCACTCAGAAACTACAGCAGTAGTACATCCTTCGATCGATGGCATCTCCCAGAAATATCAAAATCGAGCTTCATACATTCGTCGTCAGACCATGGTAAAGGCTAGGCGAGGTACCTTGAACTGTGCCGAGTAGGCAGTGAGGGCGGTAACCTGATCCGTCGACGGCGCGTAGCCCACGTACACGGCGTTGCACTTTCCGTGGGGCACCCCGGAGGTGTCGGTCGAGTCCACCAGAAGGGCCGAAAGGTCGTCGGTTTCAGATACGACATACTCCTCCTGCAGGAAGAGCAGCAGCAACAGCGGTTACGAAGGCATTTGCGCGTCGGCGCGGGTCGTGTGTTAGCGTTAGGTTAAGGTGGGACTGAATTGGTGCGATATTTGATATTCGATCATTTGAAGGCGGCAGGAGGTGAGTTGAAATTTCGCTTGCACGACTCAAGACTGTTGGCAAAGAATATGTTGGGGCGGAGGCCTCACGCGATGTTGCCGGACCACTGTCCGTGGGTGCATGGGCAGATTCGGGTACATTATATGGGCTTACACTGCACGCAAACCAGCTGTATCGTGTGGTGTAGCATGGTCGAAACTGATACACGTGGTACTCAGGGCTGGGAGGTGCCGATGATGGGGAATGATGCGGTGTAGTGGTAGCTGCGAATGGGTAGATTTGGTTTCACTCAGCCCCCTCTGAATAACGGGGGGAGCAGGGACGCTCGAAGCAGCACGGGTCACAGCGCGCACTCCATCTACATGCAATCTGGTGTGGTGGGGATGGCCACCAACGCAGCAAACGGGCAGGGTGGCGTCAAAAAGAAGGGCCGAAATGTCGTGTGCCCCTACCTGCACCGTACGGGGCGTGGGGGCGGGCATTATTCCCCTAGCCGCGATCGTAACGGGCGTGCGTGGGGTAGG